AGAGCTGGAGGGGGGCTGCGACAAGGGCAGGGGGTGATAGGACGCGGGGGGGATGGCTTCAAGCTGAAACTGGACAGATTTAGCTTAAAATAAGGAAGAAATTCTTCAATGTGAGGCCCTGGCCCAGGTTGCCCAGAGAAACTGTGGCTGCCCCCTCCCTGGCAGTGTCCAAGGCCAGGTTGGATGGGTTGGAACCAGATGATCTTCAAGGTCCCTTCCAGCCCAAACCATTCAATGGTTCTGTAGCTGCAGAGTTTCAAGGCAAGCCTGGTTTTGCCTTCTTGTCTCTTGGGTGAGACACAAGCCTAGGAGTAGAGGATCAGGGAGGAGCACCTGGCTTGTTACACCCTGTGCCCTGCTGTCCCCTCTCCCCAGTTCCCAAACTTGGCTGATGACTCTGCCAACACCACGAGCAGCCGCTCCCGGCTGCCTCTGCCACCCACCTGAGCTGGGGATGCAGCAAAGGGGCCTGGGCACCACCCAAGAGAGCCCTTCCCCAGCCTAGTTGAACAGCAGAAGCTTTCAAGCCCAGTTCCTCAACTGGGGCCCAACTTTTAAGTTCCTTACCAGCCACGGAGGGACCCTCAGCAGCAACCAGGGCTTCTTAACCGGCAGCTTTTGGAAAGGGGTGAATAACACAAGAGAAGACGCGCTGCAAGGAGCTGTAGGAACACAAGATGCTAGTTAGGGAGAGCCACGAGCCTGGCTACTCTTGGTAGTACCTTCTCTCGCTCTTGGGAGATGTTAGAAGGCACGTCCCTCCCTGGGTGTGAGCCCTGTTTGTTGACCTGTCGTGCAGTAATTTATCTGAACCCACTGACACACTTTGCTTCCGCAGCCTCACGCGGCAGCAAGCTGCAGAAGTTACGATCTGCTGTGCAGAGAAATGCTGCCTTTTAATCTGCTCCAATGTGATTGGGTTGCCCAGAGAGGTGGTGGAGGCCCCATCCCTGGAAACATTCAAGGCCAGGGCTCTGAGCAACCTGATCTCGTTAGCGGTGTCCCTGCTCGCTGCGGGGGGGTTGGACTAGATGAGCTCTAGGGGTCCCTTCCCACCCAAAACTTTCTATGATTCTATGATTTCCAGCTCAATCCGTATCCACAGCTGAGAGTGAGGAAGCTGGAGATACGGTGTCTGGGAGCTTGTCTGATTTGAGTGTGTGGAGGATGGTGGATTCCACATTTTCAGGTTAACGTAGCCCTTGGCAAGGCTAGGGAAGAAGCTGCAGGAGGTGACCGTCTGTGGTAGCGGGGAATGGAGACCGGTGACCCGAGAGGTTCCCTCTGCTCTGACATTTTGCTGTGAATCACGAGTTAAATTCTCACTGTAAGGCTCAGATGTGTTTTGACAGGTACAAAGGGATACCAAGAACACAACATCCCGACCAACCCTTGAGTAAGGTGGGTGCTTGGTGGTGCTTAGGGCGATGCAGCTTAGTGCAGCCCTGCAAAACGCCTCTCAGCGTTACCAGCCGGATGGTTTTTACACCACTCATTATTGTGCACATAAAAGTATGAGATTTGTTAAAGAATAATGGGAAGTGTGCATGGTAACTTGTGAATTTTTTTAGGTGCGTTACGGTGAAGAGGTGCAGGACTCCCCTTAAAGGAGAGCGTACTGAATTTGTCACGATGGCGTGGGGACGTTATGGAAGATGAGGAAAATATGTTTATGGCCAGGCTTTCCCTGCAGGGTCTCGCTGGGTTGCAGAGCACCAGACCTTTCTGCTCCGCGCGCCCTGCGCACGCTCGCTGCGGCGAAGCAGGCGGTCCGTGCGTGCCGAGGCGTCGGTGCCCTGATCGGAGGTGCGGTCGCGGGCGATGGAGTGACGCCGTCCGGCAGACCCCGTTTCTGATCTCTAGTTTGCATTGATCTTACGTTTAGACACGCAGTCAGAAGAACAGACCCTCCCTTTTCCAGTGCCTTTGGAAAGATCGCAGCTTCGTAGAATGAGTCCTTTCTCCTCCACGCTTAATCTACAACCCAGCTTTCCGGGGAGATCCTACTTTGAGCTAAGATCTTCGGCCCACCAGCTGAGCTTGCATTCTTCTTTGCAGTCCCTGAATTCAGCCGGTGAGCTGAGCGCCTCTGGTATCTCCTCTTGGTCTGTGCTTCTGGGCATCTCCAAAGTATTTGTTTTGTTTCGTTCCGTTGTGTTTGTTTTTCCCATGACATGCGGATGGCGGGGCCAGCTCCTTCGGTGTGTCCGTGGGCCTGCTCCTGCCGTGGAGGGGCTTGCGGTGACGTAGCTCTCGCGGTGTGTTCGTCTCCACGAACCGGCGTGGGCAGTTTCAAGCGTGGGGTGATGGAGCAGCGCAGTAACCCCTTACGTGGGTGCTGCTCTTTGCCCAGCCAGCCGGCAGAGCGGATCCCTCGTCTCTAGTTTGCATTGCTCGTGTGTCCAGGGACAGTCAGAGGAGCAGATCCTCCATGGGAGAAACCTCGAGGGTCTGCTTTCCCTGTACAGCCAGTAAACGCAGCCCCAGCTGAGAGATTTCACAGAATCACAGAATAGTAGGGGTTGGAAGGGACCTCTGTGGGTCATCTAGTCCAACCCTCCAAAAAAAAACCAGGGCTCCGTCACCCTCAGAGGGAAGAAGTTCTTCCTCATGTTCAGACAGAACTTCCTGTGCCTCAGTTTGTGCCCATTGCCCCTTGTCCTGTCACTGGGCACCACTGAAAAGAGCTTGGCCCCATGCTCCCGACATCCACCCTTCAGATATTTGTAAGCATAAAGATGAGATTTGTGCCGTGAAATTGGTTTGCTCCATGAAATCTAGACCTAAAGATCTAGATCTAAATCTTTTAAGAAAGAAGCAGGTCTAGATGCAAGCAAAGGCCAGCTCACAGACCCCTTGCAGTCTGGCATCCAAAGACCCTGAAGACTAGACTTCTGGACTAGATGACCCACAGAGGTCCCTTCCAACCCCTGCCATTCTGTGAAGACGTGGGCTGTCGTCCGCTCGGCTTTGAGCACCGGGCTCGGCCTTTGCAAAGCCAGACGTGGTCGTATCCGAGTCTTGTTTCCTGCAGAGCAGGGAAAAGCGCTCCCGTGACGCCTTGCTCGTCTGGCAGCCCCCACGAGCGCTTTGCTCGCCGCCAGGCGCCCGGTCCTGGTGGGCTGCGGTGGGACGTAGGCAGTGCAGGCAGAATGGGTGACGGCGTCGGGCGGCCGGCGAAGGAGCCACGGGCACAGGGCATCTCTCGGGGCTGTTTTCTAACCAGTCTTTGCACATCTTCCCTTGCTAAAGATCCTGGGCCCCGATTCTTCCGCCACTCCGGATTTACACCGCTCCGTGGGCTCCGATGGAGCAATTCACGGCTTTCTCTGGTGTAAGCCCAGGAAGAGTGGGGGCCCCCGATTGTCTGATTTCCATCCCATAACCCGGAATGAGGAATGCTGCAGCATGACCCTTGCCAGAATAACCGGGGGGAACCTGCAATTTCCTTTTCTTTGTGCTTTTTATGTTTGTTTTGTTTTTTTTTCCTCATCGTGCTGCTGTGCGCTAATAATGCTGCAGCATGACCCTTGCCAGAATAACCGGGGGGAACCTGCAATTTCCTTTTCTTTGTGCTTTTTATGTTTGTTTTGTTTTTTTTTCCTCATCGTGCTGCTGTGCGCTAATGGCTTGAGCTCTGTTTTGTTACGGACGTTTCTGACTTGGTGTCCAGCGTCCCGAGATCGACCGCGGGGGCCGTGAGCAGCACCTGCGTGTGCAGTACGGACCTCCGGGGGTGCTGGGCCAGGGCACAGCGGGGTCCAGAACGTGGCCGTGTGTCCGTGCTGTTTCGCGCTCGGGGGGGGGCTTGTGTCGCAGCGACGCGCGGAGACCTTGAAAACCCCTTTCTGAATAGGAGCAAGGGGCGACATT